GGGGAGGTGTTTCTCTCATGCTCTCGATGACTCACAGGACTGAATGAGGGAGGATCATGAGTGATCCATCTTCTTGCCTACGCACTTTTGAGTGTCTTCTCACTTCTGGATCTTCAAAACGGTTGCGTTTCAGGGACAGCCTATTTACAACTGAAGCAAGTAAACTCATCAATGGCATTCAAAAAGTTTTAGGGGATAGAGATGTGCTTTGTGTTCTGATTGTGAAGAGGTGGGAAAATGATTAAAGACGAAGAGTTTTAAGATTTATGTGGAGCATCCGTGGTTGAAAACAAAGGTTGTAAAACATTGGTTGAGGTGTGAGTATTCCCTACGGATGGATGGAAGTTTTTGCCTCTGATCTGCATATGGGAAAGATAAGGAGACTGTGCTGTGATCTGAGTTGGTTCATGAGCGAGGGCTTTAGATGAGGGTATGGGTTGTGCTATTATTTGGGCTATTAGATTTATTGGGTTATGTACTGATCTAGGAAACAGGCTATACTTGGGTTAGAGAGAGAAAATGTGTCATCTCTTCTTGGGCTTGATAGGATGGTATGATGGGCTAGCATACAGTCTATACTTGGGTCAAGGATTGGGTTCATTTGTATACTTGTTGGGTGGGATGAATTAGGGTTTTGTGGTGTGGTTTGTACCACAATGGCTGAAAGCATTTCCTCCGAGTTAGTTGCGTTCGAATCCATTCTTGCTTTGCCACGTGGAGCATTTGCAGAGTCTATTGGTGACAGAGGTGTGAGCACGACGCATGATCTCGGATCAGGTAGTGTATCTAAGAATTTGCTGGGTCCACTTGCTTGAATTGAGTGGGTTTCACACGCCTCCTCCTCCATCTGGAGTGGTGGGGGGTGATGAGTTTTCGGCTGCTTTAGTGCCTTAGATGATTTCCATGGGGTTGCATGCAGATAAGGACCGTATTTCATATTATTTCCCAAGCTTGGTGTATTTTTGCAATTATTCTGTTCATGTCCGATTATCCCACACATATAGCAAAAATCTCCAAGCTTCTCATATTTCAGAATGATGAGCTTGTTTGGACGATCGTTCCTTGGCAACCAGAAGTGGGTTTGGAGTTGTTTTGTTAAATCAATTTCAACTCTAGTTCGAATGTAGTTTTTTCATCTGGTTTTTTGATGGAACAGTTGCTCTACAAGAACTGGTCAGCCTAGAGCCTCAGCAATCCTTAGGGCATTCTCTTTGGTTATCATTTTAGGAAGGACCCCATGAGCTTGAACCCAAAATGGGGAAGAGTTGAGATTAATTTCATTAATTGCGATTCCTGGGATCCATTGCTTCAAAACCATGAGTTGCCCTTTTACCGACCATGGTGCTTGGTTGAGGATTCTGAGCTTGTGTTCTTCATCTTGAAAAAGAAATATGAAGGTGTCGTTCTCTCCTTCATTAATTTGGATTTTTCTTTATGGAGTTCCATGCCCTTTCCAGGACATTCTTGATTGCAATCTTGTTTATTTGTTTGCTAGAGTAGAGTTTGCCCACCAGGCAAGAGTGATTGAGAATAGCAGAAATGTTGGAATCTGGGAGGAGTTTTATTCGGAGTGGCTCACTGCTTGGGGGCTTTCCCTTTGAGTTGTCCGTGGTGTTGATGTTGGTATGTGAGAAGAACAAAGGGATTGTTATGGGGAAGAAGATGGTTGTTGTAGGTGGGCGATGGCTAGATAGGCAGCTATGGATGTGAGATGAAGACTTATGGGCAGTTGCGGAAGATTGATGGGAGATGAGTAAGGTTGTGCAGGGAAGAGGTGGCTGTGCAGTATCAAGGTTATGCAGAGTAGCAAGGGTTGCAGAGAATAATGGAGATAATGGGAGCTGGGTATCAATGAAAGCTTAGGAATATATGGTTGAGGATAATAAACAGAGGCTCGGAATAGGTAGAGCAATGTCACTGCTCAATAGGGGAGTTCCACAGGAAGAGGAAAGAGGAGAGCTCTGTCAACAGAGAGCAAGGTAGCAGGAATTACAAAGAATAATTTTTGAGTTTAATTTCAATTTGACTACTATTGCATAATTTGAGCTAAAATTTGAGTTTAGTTAAGATTTACACCGATTTATTAATTCAAATTGGGTCTTAAAAACACAAGACCCAAAGTCGAGTATTGCCCAAATTGAAATGAGGTTAGGATTTTTTTGCAAGCATCTTTACGCAAATACTAAATATTTTGATTTTAACTTGAGTTGAATTTAGATTACCTACTCAAAATATTTGCTATCTAATTGCATTCATGGGAGTCTCCTAAGAATACAAGGTGGGTATGACTTTTAAACGATTTAGAAGGGAGTTAGTAGCACTATGGCGTAGCCAAATACAATATTCTTATACTTCATTTAAAAGGTTTATTGTCATCTCCAATGTAAAAATAACCAATTGGCACATTAATTTTCTAAAATGTTATATTAGTTACATAAAACTGCCACTTATAACATGATTTGGAAGAGAAAAAAATGGTAAACATTCTTACCCAATTTTAAAGATGTTGATTCTTGAACTCAAATCCATTACTCATCACTTTGTTGAATAAACACTTGTCAACCCTTAAGGAAAGTTCAGTAGTTGAACTGACATTTGGTAATTTTGAGATCTCAGATTACATCCTTTTTCACACCCCATAAGGGCTAGTCACCTTTATCTTTTTAAGGACATGTTCTAACCTAGTTCAAGTTATGATAATCAACCGTTAAGCTAGATAGACAAATCTAAACACCTGTAGTAAAAAAAAAATTAAACACTTGTCAATGCTTCATGTCGAACTTCTACTTCCATTAAACTTCTATTTTCCAAAAGAAATTCTAGGACATGTGGCACCACCATTGACATCATCATCCCAAGTTGATATAGCGTTCACATAACTCACCACGAAGTCCTTGCATTTTTCTAGTTTCCACTTCTTCTGTGCCTTTTTTATAGTTGGAATTCATGATTACTACTTTGGGAAAATGTAGTTCAATAACACTTGGGAGAGAGCGTCAATTCCATCATGAGATTAAATATTAATCTTAAATTAATATTATTGTGAATTTGGAGGTGACTACTGTGAATTTGGGAAGACTGTCAATCACATCTGCCTGAACCATTCCGACTGTGAGATTCAGTTTGTCCATATCCTTAGGGTTCCTCCTTCCTATATATACTCTTCCTGCCCCTAATTTTAAGATTTTTCTTCGCTCTGTGGAGTAAAAGATGAAACGTCGCTACTCCTCCCGCCCTCGCCATAGGTCTCACCGTAGTAATTACTGTGTTTCAATGGTTGAACTGACATTTAGCAAGTTAAAGGTATCAGGTTCCACCCTTTTTCATACCTCAGAAGGGTTAGTTATCTTTATCCTTTTAAGAACATGTCTAACTCAGCTCAAATTACGATAACCAGTCATTAAGTTCAATGGAACAAACCTAAACACCTACAGTTCAAAAAAAAAACAAAAATTTGAACATTCGTCAACGCATCATGTCCGACCTTAACACACATTAAACTTCTATTTTCCAAAAGAAATTCTAAGACATGTGGCACCACCATCAACATCATCATCATCCCAAGTTGATATGGCATTCACATAACTCACCACGAACTCTTTTGCATTTTTCTAGTTTACACTTCTTCTATGCCTTTTTTATAGTCGGAATTCATGATTACTACTTTAGAAAAATGTAGTCCAATAAAACTTGGGAGAGAGTGCCAATTCCATCCTGAGATTAAATATGAATCTTAATTTAATCCTTTTTAAATTTAAAAATTTGATCTAATTTGTTGATTTAATGATATAATTTTATTGTTACCGTTGAATTAGTACCAAGTGTTTGATGAAACTCATAGTCAATTCAATTATTATAGCGAATTTAATCAACAAATTAAACCAATAAATTATATTTAAATAGCATTATTCTTAATATTATGAAGTATTATACTTGAAATTATGATTATGGATCGAGTCTCTAAAGCAAATTCCTAATCTCTTCTTTCAAGAAAGATTAAGAGAATAATAACCTGCTATAATGGGCTGCGATGTGGGCAAACGCAACATTAAATAAACATTTAAAGATTCGTGGCTAATTAATTAACACATTGACTCTTAACAATTTTCCAAGTGAAAGTAGCCAACCACTTCTACTATGAGACTTCCGGCTCGGCTCAATTTTAATTCGGTGTCAGCTCATCTACATTATAAAATAAATCAAATCTAAACAAATTTTTAGGCTCGTTTAATATTTGGGCCGAGCCCGAACAACTTGTAAGCGGGTCCATTTTTCCTACTTATACATCATATATATAAAAATTACTACAGATCTTCAAGTTATTTCAGTAAAATTAGCAAAAAAACTTTAAGTTTGTATGTTTTTATTGTGATTTAGAGGTATTTTATGCACAAATTTGTTTTAAAATGTGTACATTTTTTGTCAAATTTTTTGATTGAATATTTGAAATTTGTAGATTTTTATTTTTATTTTTTTTTTGAATGACTTATTTTTGTCTTGAGCTCAGCACAAATCCGATTTGAGCAATCTTTGAATATTACAAGCTGAGCTTTAGCATAACCAATTTCAAAAGGCTCAATTCGATTAACACCCTATGCGTAATCATTTCCACCAGATTTTCATAATGGCGTTCCTGTCTATCTCAAGTCATCAGATCCCAATATCCCCATATGTTCACAAACTTACAACCATAAGAAGAAAAACTACATCTGGGTGATAGGAATTTTGTTGGCAATTGTTATTGTTGGAGTTATCTTATTTCTAAACCGTCGGTTTAGTAAAGAAAAAGCTTCCTTTTTCCCATATGACGTCAAAATTTACCATCGTTTAAGTTTTGATCAACATGAGATCATTGAGGCCATGGTTGATAAGAACACAGTCGGGTATGGAGGATCTGGGACACTGTACAAAATTAAGTTGAGGAACAGGGAAGTTGTAGCTGTAAAGAAGCTCCGGAGTGGGAAAGCTAAAGATTCTGTTTCTGATGATGAATTGTTCCTAGACAAGGGACTGAAAACTGAGGTTGAGACTCTAGGAAGTATAAGGCACAAGAACATTGTGAAATTGTATTGCTACTTCTCCAGTTTGGATTGCAGCTTGTTATATGAGTACATGCCAAATGGAAACCTTTGGGATGCACTTCACAGAAGAAAGATCCTTTTGGATTGGCCCACTCGTCATCAGATTGCCTTGGGGATTGCACAGGGTTTGGCTTATCTTCACCATGATCTCTTGCCACCAATTATTCACACAGACATCAAGTCGACCAACATCCTACTGGATGTCGAATATCAGCCAAAAGTTGCGGACTTTGGCATAGCCAAAGTTTTTACAAGCAAGAGTGGGAAAGGATTCCACCACTACTGCTATCGCAGGAACGTTTGGTTACTTGGCTCCTGGTAATTTTCTGATCACTCAGCTCTAGTATACTTACAAACTAATAGTTAAATATCTGTGGCACATTCATATTTTAGCAATTGCACACAATTTTGTAAAGGATTCTGCATAGATCTGATTTTTATTTGGTCGCACATTGGCTCTCTATGTATACTATCTTGCACTGTGATTCCACAAAAATGAACATCCCTATGTGTGCAATATATTTTATAACGTTTTAGAACTTAACTTAATTACTATTTATATTCTTTGATTATAATTTAGACCTTTTTTATTGGTCAATTTAGATATAAATATCAGCCTAATGTTTCTTTCATCGTGCATGTGATAGAATATGCGTATTCTTCTAAGGCAACAACCAAGTGTGATGTCTACAACTTTGGTGTCATACTCATGGAATTAATAACCGGGAAGAAGCCTGTGGAGGCGGAGTTTGGAGAGAACAAGAATATCATATATGGGGTTTCAACCAAAGTGAAGACGAAAGAAGGAGCTAAGGAGGCCTTAGACAAGCAAGCGTCAAGGTTGTTCAAGGATGAGATGATCAAGGTACTCAGGATTGCCATCCATTGCACATGTGGCACCACAGCCCTTCGCCCAACCATGAGTGAAGTTGTTCAGTTGTTGATTGAGGCAGATCCCTGCAAATTTGATTTGTGATAAGGCCAAGGAAACAGAATACATTACCAAGCAGAAGAAACCATATAATTTGTTATTAGAGGTGCTTGATGGGGATTATGGTAAAGTAGCATAGGGTCTATAGAACAGTATTGGCTCTCAAACTACTAGAGACTAACCAAGAAAAGCAGTATATAGATTATATGTCACTTTTTTTTCTCCTTTTTCTTTTTCTTTCTTGATGTAATGTAAGCATTTGAGGTATTCAACCAAATATAACTGCTTTATGGCATAGCCTCTATAATTTTCATTGACCCACAAAGGAGATAATTCTCTATCTTTTGAGGTAGAGTCAGGCCGAACTTCTGATGACTCATGAGAGAGCCACTAAGTTGGAGACTGAGGCTACTTGCATGGGAGTAGAGACAGAATTAGGCCAAGCGTATGGCTTTTCGTGAGAGAGTCGCTAAGCTGGAGACTGGGGTTGCTTGAATGAGAGGAGAGACAGAGTTTGGTGAGCTTCTGGCGACTCGTAAAAGAGTCGCTAAGCTAGGGACTAAGGCTATTTGCATGAGAGTAAAAGCAAAGTTAGGCCGAGCTTCTGGCGACTCACGAGAGTGCCACTTGGTTGGAGATTGAGACTGCTTGCGTGAGAGCAGAGTCAAAGTTAAGCCGAGCTTCTAGCGACTCATGAGATAGCCACTAAACTGGAGATTGAGGCTGCTTGCGTGAGAGCAGACGAAGAGTTAAGTCAAGCTTTTGGGGACTCAGGAGGCTCCTCCCAAGAGACAGAGAGGAAGAGGGAGGCGAGGCCTCCTGATGCGCCAAGAGGGGGGACGCCGAGCACCAAGGGCATTACTAGACAAGCTAGGCACGTGATGCGGGCAGTGCGCCCAAATGGGGATGAGGCAGGTGCTGCGAGACTGGGCGCCACTAAACGTTGGGCGCGCTAGGCGCCGCTGGGCACCGTAAGGCTGGGCGCATGTGTGTTAGCACTGAGCGCGTGGGCGTTGGGCTCGCTGGCACTAAGAGGAGTATTAGAAAATCCTGAAGAAATGACAAAACTTTGCACGACCCTAACTTTGCGCTCAATTGTCCGTTTGAGGCAAAAAAAATTTGAATCTAGGTATTTTTTCGAGATCTACCAAAATCAAATTACCTACGAAAGTTTGGGCACCAAATTTTCCTAAAAAATGCTAGTTTTTCACTAAATTTGAATTTCAACCACAAATTAGTGAAGTAGAATTTTCACTTGTCTACTTTTTGTATTCCCCTCACGTGAGGACTTAGCTCGCCTTGCTTTGGAGACATTCCCGCATTCATGTATTTCTTGGATTTTTATAGTAATTCTAGCATGTACTTTGACAAGCGCTTCAAGACTAAAAACAAAAGACTGGATGAGCGCAAGCCTTCTGTGAAGGCCGCCATGATGACTTTATCATCTGGTTCTTCAATCTGGAGGACTTCCTAATTAAAACAAGTGAGGTAACTCTTTAGGCTTTCGTCCTGATCCTATTTAATGCTAAGCAGGTGGGTGATAAGCTTCTAGTGTTAGCGTCCCCCAATGAAGTATGAGACGAAGGACTTACTTAGTTTAGCACAAAAATTAATGGAAACAAGGGTAAGCTTGGCGAACCACTGGCGAACAGATCCCTTGAGGATGGTAGGAAAAATCCTATACATGATCTCGTCTGATATGTTGTACAGTTGCATCAGGGATTTGTAGGTGTCAAAGTGGTTCAGTGGATCTTTGGAGCCATCAAAAGCTTCCACGATTGGCATCTTGAACTTTGGGGGAAGAGGGTAGTTGGCTACATCAAGCATGAAGGGCATGTTGGTACGCCTCACAAGGTAGTCAACCGTTTCAAGCCCTCGCACCTTCATAGCGTTGTAAATGTCAACGAGTTTGTTTTGTACTTCCTTGATTTTCTCGTCTCAATGGTTGGGGATATCACAAGTGGGGTTGTTCACGTAGCTTTCATGGTCCCCATGCCGGTTTTTCCGCTCATCCTATTCAAAATAAGGGTCAACAATATGGAAGTAAGCAGGCCTATGAAGCTGGGTAACAGGAGGCCTTTGGCATTAGGGGAGCGCTAAGTTGAGACGCCTAGGGCTCCCTTCCTCCTTGATGTTGGGAGGCGGCTCCCTAAAGACTCCCAGCATGAGGATCTACCAGTTCTAGTTAACTAGCTATTGCATGGTCTCTAACAGTTGGGATTCATAATGGGGTTTGCCGATGGTGGCGGGACATCGTCGTGATGTTGTGAGTCATCTTCCGCTTGGTGGTTCATGGATTTGATGGTGATTATCATTGAATGTAGAAAGATTGTAGGGTGAGAATCAAATCGGTTCCCACAGATGACGCAAAACTGATGATGCACAATGTTGATTATGCACGATCAAATCAGTCGAATGTGTGGTCTAAAGCAATTAATGAAGCAACTAATAATAAGAGACAAAGATTTGTTGGTTAGGGTTGGGTGACCTAACCACTAAAGGCGGCAACGGTAGCCGGAGAATTCTATTAATGAAAGAGTACAAGGTACTAGGAGAGAGAGAGAGAGAACAAGAGTTCGCTCAAGGTGAAGTGTGTGTCCCCTGTGTAGGGGATTAACAATTTATAGGCACAGGACCCTAACTGAGGTGGTGATATAAAGGTCAAACTTCTAATTTATCGAGGAGGATAGCTACAATTGAGGATAGACACTATCTTGGAGTAATGGTATTCCGATAATTGTTCTCCCACGTGCGTTGACTTTTCCTGGACTCGAACTTCGAATTAGACTGAGGCTTAAAGCTAAATCTAGTCTGCCTTTTGATAATTTGGGCTCAACCCATGAACTTAGTCTTGGCCTGATCTAGATCTGAGCTCGTCAAATTACACAATTCAAAATCAATTTGAAAACACTATTTTCTAAAAAAAATTAACAAAATTTTCTCTAAAAATATGACCCCTAAAAAATATCAACCGGTACATAATTTATATATTTAATCATTATACCTTAAAATGCTAGTAATTGTTATATACCTAATTATTCTTAAAAATAACTTATATTTAAAAAAACACGACCTAAATCAATTATTAAACTCACTATCACGCTACATTCCGACCTTAATACAATCATTTACCAATTACCACAAGCAACATGATATAATAGAAATAAACAAATCAGGAGCCATTGTTCCTTTTCTAGCATTAATGATTCAAACAATGCATACTGAGGAACATAAGAAATATTATCATTTTTCTTGAAATGTATTGAAAAAAAATAGCACAAATCTCTTGTACCAAGCTAAGAAAAGTACTTTTCTTTTTTTTTTTTGGGGGGGGGGGGGGAGCGAAAAGCCCCATTTCGGACACTAACAAAGGAAATACTTGCAAATCGGCAAAAGTAAACAAAATTTAACACTTAAGAATTCATTCACACAATCAGAGCTAAGTATTGCACTCCAAACTCAACAATACATTTTGCCACAGAAAGAACTGTAATTGTATATTTCCTTTTTATTATTATAAATGAGCTATTTTCACCAAACAAACAACATATTTGGCTACCCTTTACTAAGAAAACTTGTATAGTAGAACACCCAATTCCTCTACACACACATCCAAAATCAATGGAATCAAAATATCTTGCAATTGAGGGAAAAAAAATTATTTTATTTTATTTTATTTTTGGAGGGAGAGAAGGGAAGGGGGCTTGAACCCTTGACCTCAAGAAGGTAAAGTATTCGCTAGGTAATGCAAATTTCATGATTTACAATTTATACGCATCGTCACTCTAGTACCCACCACAAATTTCCTTGACAATTTTTTTTTTTTTTTTTGGTAGAAGCCGATATTACACCAACCAAAAATCATGAATATGAATAGTAAAATTTTGTTAACCAAACGTCCAAAGCTTAAAAAATATATGAATATGTTTGGTTAACCAACCATCCAAAGCTTAAAAAATATAAATAATAAACAACAAAGGCTTATAAAAAAAAATATACTTTGTGACCGCTGTAATATAACATTGGCAATATAGGGAACTTACGGGTCAAGAAGTAAGAGATACCCAATATGCAGCAAGATTGTTGCTAGGTTAGCAATTTCATGATCCAATCCGATATGTGCCCCTGCCAAATGATACATTAGAATGCAGATAGAATCTGTATGCAACAAATTTTTTAGATTACATTGTAATTGAGAATGGGACCTTAAATACGAATGCATGTACATAAAACTCTGACAAATTCTTCCCTATAATGAAGAAAAGTCCATGAATCAAGTCAACTTACATTTATTGGCAAACATATTTCAAGTCAATGTATTATTGTTATTTTGGTCACTCAATTGTTGACACAAACATACGGAGAAATCATAAATGCATAGATCAAACAACAACTAACACATACATGTGTGCAGTTAGGCATTAGCAACAAATCAACTCATGTATAAAAGTGAGCAAAAGATTACATACCCATTTATTTACATGGAAGTTGCAAAAATCAAGCATGAAATTCAAATTGAATTCTAATTAGAGTGGAAGGTTGGATTTGTACACTCACCTAAGAATGATCATTTAGGGAGATTACTAAAAGGATAAACTAAGAAAATGAACGTTGCGATTATGCCAATTAACATGATTGGAGAGCATTTCATAACAAATAACAAAATCGCAAAAAATAGCAAATTAGTTCATGTCTATGGAATTGTTTAAATACAACAAAATGAACAAAAAAAATCAGATCCTCACAAAAAACATACTTGACTCTGTGTAATCTTGGATGGAAATAGCTCTATGAGACATTTTGTCGAACATGCGAGAGGAACCAGGAACTCTATCAAAATCAATTCACAAACCACCAAATATTAGAAAACATATATTCCACTGAATCCACAATCTCAACACCAAGAAAGCAAATCCGTTCTTATACTAAAATTCAGACTTCAACACACACTCATCACCAAATCTCAATTGTACATAAATTCATCTTTAGACAAACCAAAATGTGTGTTGTTCTATACAAATCTTATTTTCTACTCAAATGGTACC